TGTCATCAGAGAAAAAGACTCAAATGACTGTGTCCTAAATCCAGTGTAGTGAAACTTTAGGTATACATAATTTGTGCTACATGAGCTATCCTGGGTTAAATTAGGTGTCACGGATTGTTGTTTAACTTTCAGTGTGTGTTTTAGCTCCTTAAGTGGACCATAAGCCCTGTGGGCAGAGTGTCTTGCATATCTGTATATGTCCTGTAGGGTCTCGCTCCATGCCTTGCCTGGAATTGGTGTTCATTGGCTTGACAAGAACTCAGATGACTTCTTTTACCTGTATTATGATCTTTAAAACATTTACCAAACCACAACAGTATAATTAGGGTTAGTGATCTAGCCCACATGATGAGACAGATATGTAACACCTAAAGCAAGAAGTTCTACTGTCCTGATCTGATGACATGGAAAATGCAGTTTTGCTTCTGTATGATGTAATTGGTTGGATGAGTTGCATAAAATCAGACTGTTGTGTTATCTTAAAATGACATTCTAAGATGGTTTTGCTTACTCAGGTAGTGTATTGATGAGGCAACAGAAAACTTTAGGCTTTTTCAAGATTTTTTTGTGTAGTATGTGTCAGTTCCCAAGGTGGCTGTGTCTTTGTAAACGTTTGGGGAGTGGAGGCATTGTCTGATGAGCCATCAGGGGTGATGGGGCCACCAGGCAATGAATGTGACTGCTTCTTGTCAATTCCATGTGTGATTTTCCTTTTTGATGTCTGAAAACTGATTTTTATGTTGTAGATGAAGAAGTGGAGGATATGTACCTTGTGGATTTCACGCAGAAGATCATAGACAAGCGCAAAGAAATGGAGGCATCTGGTGCCCATAGAGATTCTCAAAAGGCAGGAGAAAGGGACGACGATGAGGAAAACCTTCCTGAGGGAGACATCCCTCCTCCCCAAGACCCCAGTGAAGAATGGTTGGTAACATCATGGATTAGCTCTGAGGAACATCCTCAGACTTGTGCTGACATTTTGGGAGCGATTTTGTTGGGTTGTTATCAAGCCATTTCTCTTTATTGTTTCTGGGTGTTCTTTTGAGACTTCCTTTTAAGTTAGGTTAGATTAGGTTATTATGGATGTAAAAACAGTAGCTCAAATGAAGACATAATTACAATAATTACATATAATTACAAATACTGACTGAGCTCCTGCTGTGTGCCCAGCCCTGTGCCAGGCCCAAGGAGACTCTGCGTGGCAGACTTGGTTTGCCTGGATCACTAACATGAAACAGTGCGGGCAGAGCGCCTTCCTTTTGTACCTGTGCTGCTGCCTTACCCGTGTCCTCGTTCTGACATGGTGGAGAGCTGCCATCTAGGAGAAGGAAGCCGGCAGTGGTGGCCCTGTATGTCTTACTCTGACTGTGACATTGTTTGGCAGTGTGGTGTGGACTCATGGGCCTTGGACGGTTCCAGCTGTACCTCTCACTGACTGTATGATCTTAATCAGGTTTCTCAGTCTTTGAGGCTCAGGATCTTCCCTTATAAAATAGAGATTATACTGCCTCATTCCCATGACCCTTTACTTTAACCCCCCTTCAAGAAGTAAGAGTGTTCTGGGCTACACAAGAAACTGCTGCCTGTGAAGTATAAGCAGGCATTTTGTAAACCTTTGTTATTGACATTTCCTGAATTTTGCCTATATGTAGATGAATGATAGAAGAACCAAACTCGTCTTTTCCTTAAAGAGACTATCAGTAAGTAGAGAGACCAGAATGGGAATTCTGTTACAATGATTTTTTTCTACCTAAGATATTATTGTTTGGAAACTATTCAGCCGTTCTTGAAATTGCTGAGAGCTGTACTGATGCTCTGACAATTTTCTGGGAACACACCCTCTTGCTTTTGGGATCCTTCTCATCCTCCTTTCAAGGCTGGAATAGCCTCCTCATAGTGGGCATTTGTTAGGAACTTCTCAGGACTCTTTGCAGCAGGCGTTGATCTTTTGTCAGCCTTTGGCCCTGTGGGCAGTCATTGATGAGCTGAAGAGAGCAGTCCCAGCTACTGTGGATGGCAGAGAAACTGCATCTTCATTCCACTGAGGGTGTCCATGTTGGTTCAGAAATAACATTCTCATTGGGATAAAACAGGTATCTTCTTACCGACTTTCTTACATCTAAATAATTTGGTACCGTTTGGAACAGGTACCATTTGGTACCATTTGGTACCATTTGGAACAGGCTTGAACAGCCTGCAAGCTATAAGGAACCAAAAGAGAAGAACATACAGTCTCTTCTTTTGGTGCCTTTCTTCATCATTATTTTCTTTTTTATTTATTTGTTTTTGAGGCAAGGTCTCCACACTCCGTCACCCCGGCGGGAGTGCAGTGGCATGATCATGGCTCATTGTAGCCTCGAACTCCTGGGCTGAAGCAATCCTCCTGCCTCAGTTTTTAATTTTTTGTTTGTAGAAACAGGGTCTCACTATGTTGCCTAGGCTCTTCTTGAACTCCTTGGCTCAAGCAATCCTCCCGCCTGGGCCTCCCAAAGTGCTGGGATTACAGGCGTGAGCCACCATGCCTGGCCTATCATTTCTAATCTCTAAGTGATTGCTCTCTCATCTAAAGTCAGGTAGCACTTAATATACTTCCTGCTCTTCAGGTATTACCTATTATTTATTATTGACACATACTAGGCCTCATTATCAGAAAAAGATTTTAGCAAACTTTTGGTAGTCTTTGTGTACCCAGTGTTGTTAATAAGCATTTCATGGGTGTGTGCCTTAACTTCCCCAGACCCTTGGAAGATGGCATGGCTGTTAGCCCTCCTGTATTACTCTCCTTGCCTGAGGAAAGCTTTGTTTGCCTGCAGGGGTTGCTCAGTGAGTGACTGCTGATTAGATGGAGCCGTGGCTGACTACTGTCTTGCCACTTCTATTTAATGGGATCTGTATGTTTTGGAGGCCTTCTCCAGAAACAGAATAGTCTATGATTGCTTTTCAAAGCAGAAATCTCATCTCCTTTGAAACGTCTAATGTCTTTTTAAAAATTTTTGCTTATTAATGCCTGTGTGATTACAAGCAATTTGCCAGTGATTTGAAGAGTTTGGAGGGCAATTGAAGGTGTCACATGCCACCATATGGTGAAGGAAGACGCTCTGCAAGCAGTTCTGACACAATTTTTTGTTTTTAAATTAAGCTCCAGAATCGTAATTGCTTGTAAAATCCTTTTGATAGTTAAATTCCAGGTGGTAGAAAATCTTTCCAAGATACTGTAAATAATTACACAGACCATCTGGCTAGATGGTTTTCTTCCCCATCCATTTGGGGGGGAAAAAAAGGAAGAAAGAAACTGCTTGCTGCAGTTGGAGGTTTTATTTCTTGTGATAATCAGCTTCAGTACTAGAGTAAACACTCAGTTTTTAAATCACAACTAACAATTGAAGTCAGCATTGCTTGAGAGGAAAAAAAATTGCTAACAAAAGCAAAGCCACGTACCTGCCGAATCTGACCTTAGATTGGTCTGCCAGGTAGTACTTATTGGGCCCTTAAGTGTGTATTCAGTACCCTGCTAAAGGCTGTAGGAGATTCTCTGCCTGTAATTTAAAAAGTACAATATCTGTTGTGTCATATTACAAATGAGATGTTTTTCATGAAAATCCGTCCATATTTTCTATTGTAGGAAGTCAGAATATTTCATTTTGCCTTGCTATCTGCCTGGCTTAGCTGTCTAACCACTGTCTAGTTTGAGCAAAGATGAGGAGAGAGGTATGGTGTTTGGCTTCCTCCTAATTAAGAAGAGTCCAACTCTGAAAAATACTGTGAATTTCTTACATTACGAGATTGCTAATACATTGGGTAGAATTATACCAATTAGAGGAAATAAGAGAAAGAAGAAAAAGTCTGACTTGAAGTCTGTGAGGAAATGAGCAAGTTGAAAATCTCAGGCACAAGGCAAAGTTACTAAGATACTGATAAAATGTCTGGAATTGTCTCAACTAGATTAAAGTAAGTTCATAGATGCTGCAGCAAAATTCTGTGTGGGTGATTTATCTGTGAAATCAAAGACATAAATGATCAAAATTATTGTCAACAGTTTCTAAAACTAATATTTAATAAGGAGCACAATGAGCTTATTGTGTGTCAGCTTTAAAACGCATACTCCTATCAGTGGTGGTGGTCTCTGAGGCTGGGGGCTCTTCTTGGTAGTGAGGCTTCTCTTTCCCCTTCACTGTTCACCTACTCCCTGACTTAGGGGCTTGTACATGTGTACCAGTCCTTCACATCCTTTTGCTTTCATTTCAGGGTGGATTATGTGGACTCTTTGGGGCGTTCCCGGCGCTGTATGAGAAAAGATTTGCCAGATCTGCTGGAGATGGATAAAAATCTTCAGGGGAGACTGTAAGTGTGTGTGGTATGCAGAGCTCTGCCCAGGTCTGAAATGCAGCCATAGGGATTGTTTTGTGAGGGGAGGCTGTTTTATAATTAATGATCTCTGTTGCTCCAGTAAGGAGATATTGATTGATTGAAGCACTTTTTAGTGGTTAGCGTGCACATACACACATAATCCACACTTGGAGAACAACCTGACTGGTGGATGAGTAGAGCTGTCTCTTTCACCTTGAAGGATGTCTGACTACGGAGTAACAGAATAAGCCCAAACCAAACCAAACCAGCCTTTGTGGAGAAAGTGGTTTGAGAATTTATACTTTATTTTCCCACAAGCAAGTGGCTCCAGGGAGAGAACTTATTCACTTTTTCTTTATGTATCATTGCATTTTTGAATTAAGGACCTTTTTTTTTTTTTTTTTTTTCTTTGAGACGGAGTCTCGCTCTGTCGCCCAGGCTGGAGTGCAGTGGCGCGATCTCGGCTCACTGCAAGCTCTGCCTCCCAGGTTCACGCCATTCTCCTGCCTCAGCCTCCTGAGTAGCTGGGACTACAGACGCCCGCCACCACGCCCGGCTAATTTTTTGTATTTTTTTAGTAGAGACGGGGTTTCACCGTGGTCTCGATCTCCTGACCTTGTGATCCGCCCGCCTCGGCCTCCCAAAGTGCTGGGATTACAGGCGTGAGCCACCATGCCTGGCCAAGGACCTTATAACTAGATTTTTCAGCAGGACCTAAGACCTAAGAGATAACTCTAAAACATAAAATCTGAGAGGTAACTCTAAAACACAAGACCTAAGAGATAGCTCTGAAACATCCAGGAAAATAAATTCCTCTTACTACAGGAACTTTTATGTGAGAAGTGTTGGGAGAAACTCTACCTTGTCCAAATCCTGCAGGTTCAGGCATCCAGCAGATAGCCTTTGTCTTGGCATAAGAAAGGGAGAGTGGAAACCTTGAGCTTCTCAGGGCCTGGTCATCTGCAAGGACAGGAGACATCACTCAGGCCAAAATGTTAAGCAGTTTTCATGTCCCCAGACGAGAGACCATCCACAGGAGGAGACCCAGAGTTCCTCTTCCCTGCCTGGGCCACCTCCCATCTGGTCAGCCCAGGACCTGGGTGGAAGGAAAGTTTTATGTCTTGAGTGCTCGGGCAAGATTCCGTCATGCTAACGTAACGAGTCTCGTGCTTGAGTAAGAAGGGCGAAGGCTGGCCAGGTGCAGTGGCTCATGCCTGTAATCCTAGCACTTCGGGAGGCCAAGGTAGGCAGATCACCTGAGATTAGGAGTTCAAAACCAGCCTAGCCAACATGGTGAACCCCTGTCTCTACTAAAAATACAAAAATTAGCCGGATGTGGTGGTAGGTGCCTGTAATCCCAGCTACTCGGGAGGCTGAGGCAGGAGAATCTCTTGAACTTGGGAAGCGGCGGTTTCAGTGAGCCGAGATTGTGACACTGCACTCCAGCCTGGGCAACAGAGCAAGACTAGTCTCAAAAAAAAAGGAAAAAAAAAAAAGAAAAAAAGGTGAAGGCTGTGTAATTGATTTTCTAGCAGTCTTGTGGGTCAGAAGCCTCTGTAGTTCCCTGTCTTCTTTATCAAGCAGTGTTACTTATCCATGATGCAGCTGACTGTACTTAAACACTGATATCTCAGTCCTTATCTGAAGATAGTTTTTGCTGTGTTTTCCTGCTAGTTTTGTTAGTCCTGCTAATGAAAAAACCCTGTTATCTGAAGATATGAGAAAAGAACTTCAGCGCCAGCAATGGGAGGAAGAAGAAAGAGAGGCCCTGAAGAGGCCCATGGGGCCCGTACATTATGAAGACATTCGGGAAAATGGTATGACTATTTTCTTGCAGCTTTGCAAATCTTTTTTCTAATCTTAAACTAATGGCAAACATTAAGGGAAGTATTCATAAAGCAATAGCTTTTACATGGAAATTAAAGATACTGCTTTGGAAATTGAAAATATCTCCTTTGTTCACTTCATAGCCTTAAAATACTCACATTGGGAATATCTTCCTGACAGAGGGTCTGGTAATCCAAGGGATTGTTTCCCAAGAGAAGTGGAGACAGCCCATGGCTGAAAGCAAACGAACGCTTGTTATGCTTCCCTTGGCCAACAGGACGAAAACTTGGTCTAACTTTTGTGTTTCTTTGGTGTTTTTTTTTTTCACTTAGCTGTTTTCTTTTTCTTTTTAAAACTTGTGCCGAATATCACTGTGTTTCTTTTTGCTTTGGTAGGAAATGTGGCTTGAGTGTAGTTGAATGATCAGGACAGTCTGATCTTTTGGGTAATTTGCACTTCTTTCAGAGGCCCGGCAACTCGGCGTTGGGTATTTTGCCTTTGCCCGAGACAAAGAGTTGAGAAACAAGCAGATGAAAACCTTAGAGATGCTGCGTGAACAGGTACAGATAAATCCCAAGCGGCTGTGAGGAAGGATGCGAGCGCTTGGTTTCTTGCTGGACCACACTGCAGAAAAATCTAGTAAATTAATTAGAAATTAAAATTGATATTTGGAATTGCATAAAGGTAGTTGCCATACTATTTTTGTGTTTCAAATTTTATAACTGCTCACAAGTAACCTGCGCAACTTTGATGTTTTAAATCTGGTGCCAAATGTGGTACTTTGGAGCGGCTTGGATGGGAAAATAGTAAGTTACTTAAGGGATTAAGGTGTAGGACGGAATGGGTTGGTTTCCTTGAGTGTTAAGGCTTGCAAGGTGCTCTTTGAACACTTACGAAACTTTGTAAGACATCGGAGGGTTCGTATAAGAATACTTCATAGGGCTTCATTGTAAGGATCTCAAGGATAGCTTCTTAGAGGTGGCCTGAAGATCAATTAGCTAGTCTATTTTTAGAAGAAAATTTCATCTTTTTGAACAGGAATATTGCAAATTTGGCTTCAAGCAAATAATTTTCTGATTTTCTATTCAGACAACAGATCAGAGAACAAAACGAGAAAACATAAAGGAAAAGCGAAAGGCTATCTTAGAGGCAAGACTTGCCAAACTTCGACAAAAAAAGATGAAAAAATCAAAAGAAGGTGGAACAGAGGAAGAAAACAGAGGTATATCATGTCTATGTTGCTGAACTTCAAAAGGGAAAATTTTGTTCCATTGACGTCTTGCTAATAGGGCTGGCAACGTGAAAATTAGCCATTTAGTTTTATATCTAAGCAAACAGTATACCTTTGAGGTACTGGCAGGAGCAATTTTTATAACCAAAGTGATGCAGAATGACATTCAATATTTTTAGGCTATAGATGAGGCTATGAAGCAACAATACATTGTGTTGCGTCTTAGAATGGCATAGTCTTGTAACTGAGACTTAGTAAAGAGATATTTTAAGATAAAGTTTAGTTTTGCATATATATGTTTTAGACTTACATTTTTTGCTATTGGTTATTTTATATATATATTTAAAGAAACTTATATTCATAAAGTTATGTAGTAAAAGAATTTAGAAATACGAATATCGACAGCTTGCCAAAGCTTACCAAAGAACCGTGCTGCAGAAGTTGGTGATTTGGAACTTGGAGCACGGTTCCCCTTGGAAACACTATTAAATGCTGTGTCAGACTAGCTTATTGTATAAGTTGTGGTAGTATAAGCTAAATTGCCATCAATCTAGAGACTCCTACATAGAATGGCTCAAACAAAATAGAGATCCATTTCTCTTTTTTTTTTTTTGAGACAGAGTCTTGCTCTGCTGCCCAGGCTGGAGTGCAGTGGCCACATCTCAGCTCACTGCAAGCTCCGCCTCCCAGGTTTACGCCATTCTCCTGCCTCAGCCTCCCGAGTAGCTGGGACTACAGGCGCCCGCCACCTTGCCCAGCTATTTTTTTGTATTTTTTAGTAGAGACGGGGTTTCACCGTGTTAGCCAGGATGGTCTCGATCTCCTGACCTCGTGATCCGCCCTTCTCGGCCTCCCAAAGTGCTGGGATTACAGGCTTGAGCCACCGTGCCTGGCCCGAGATCCATTTCTCTACTTAACAACTTGGAGGTGGGTGGGTGAGTGGGTATCCAGGGTAAGTGAGCAGCTTTGCCCCAGGTGGTCATCTAGTCCCAGGCTTCCTCCAGTCTTGCTATTTCTGCCATTTCCTAGAGTATTTTTTTCTTCTGCACAAAGCTTGCTCCCCTGCTTCCCTGTTCATGATCCAGCCTAGGGGTAGGCAAGGAGACGAGCTTCCTTTTTAGAGATATGAGTGGGAACTTATATACGACCTGTGCATTTACATCCCGCTGGCCAGAGCTCAGTCCTGTGGGCCACACCTCACTGTAGGAGAAGCTGGGAAATGGCCTCTCCAGCAAGCTGGCCACATGCTCAGCTGAAACCTGGGGGCATTCTATTACCCAAAGGAAAAGGGAGTGTGGGTATGAGGGGTCGTACAGCCCTCCAGCTCTCACAAAGCTTATGTGAAGCCATGGGCCGTTTCCTAATGTCTGAACAAAACCAGAAACATTTGGGAATTTGAAAACCATCTGTTTAGTTTCAGATAAATGCTGTCTCTATAACATGTTAAGCTGTGCAGATTGTTTCACTAATTTTGCTCCATCTCCTGAACATCTGTCATGTCCAGAAAATGTGAAGTGCCACCACAGTGTTTTTTAAAAATCCATGTTTCTTTTACATTTAAAAAATGTGACCAAAATTGAACAGCCTACACCAGACCCCAACTCTTCATCCCCTTGGCTCTGCTCGCTTCGCCTCAGATTGTGATGTTAGTTGAGTGATTTGGGGGTTTCTGGTCCTGCAATTGCCAGTTTGGAGAAGCAGAGTGGCATAGTGAGGGGCACAGAGACTAAAATCCATCCAGCCCAGCCCAGGACCCCAGCCCGTATCACTTTCTACCTGTGTACCATTTCGGAGCTTAATTTTCCCCCTCTATAAAATGGGGATAACATGGAAATATTGAATTTATTAGGACTGTTATAAGAATTAAATAACCTGTTGTATACAAAAGACTTAATCCACTGCCTGGGACGTGATAGGTACTTCATAAATATTGATGGTTACTTTTACTTTCAGGATTAGCATGTTCTATATTTTTAAAAATAGCTTTAGGCTTTGTTATGACAGTGTCTTATTCCCTTACAAAAAATAGATGGAGATGTTATTGGGCCTTTGCCACTGGAGCCAGAGCCTGTGCCAGCTCCACGTCCTGCTGCCCAGAATAGCAAGGTAGAAGTCATTGTCCAGGAGAGGAAGGACACCAAGCCCGGAGTGCCACACATCCGGGAGTGGGACCGCGGAAAAGGTAAGGGACGTGGGCTCTGAGGTGTAAGAACTCTCTAGTGAATGGAAAATGGTTTTTTTTCCAGAAGCACTTGGGGTAAGTTTTAACTTCGTGCTGCCTCGTGTGGTTTTACAGCTTTGGAATGCCATTTCTCAGGATCTGCCTTTAAAGTATTATTTGGTATTATTAAAGGTTTGGTGTTCTCATGTGCTCTGTTTTTTGCAGCCTCTTTTATGTTCAGTTGAAAATGGTTTGCATGCCAGTGTACTAACCTGGATTCACACATGGTTCCACTGGGGAATTTTCATGGACATTTTTTTGGTAAATTCTCTAGAGTGTCCACAGCAGCCTCTCTTTGGAAGACTATGGTTTATGCCTCTTTGAAAAAAATCGTTTCAGTAGAATATAGTCCATGCTGTCTGAGCTGATAAGATCCAAAGCTAAAGTAAGAGAAATGCAAGAGCCACTGTTAGAAATAGAGGTGAAATACCAAACAAGGTTGGGCAGGTCCCGTTTGTGTCTTCCAAAACTCAATAAAGGACAAAATTTGTATTTTGGTATGAAATACCTACAGTGTCGTGTCAAGCAGATGATTTGTCTGTATTTCTCTTTTTCTGTATTTCCCATCTAGAGGTAGTCACTCCCTTTTCTTAGCCTGGGCTTTTATACTGGTTGTAGGTATTATTTATACCTTGTAACATAGTTTTACTGTTGCCATTCTTATTCTTTGGATAGTTTGTGGTGGCTTTTAAGAAATATATGCAACGCTTAGATAATAGTAACAATAAATTCAACTGATTTGTTAATCTGTTCTAATAATTTTCTTTCTCATTTTTACTAGAATTTTCCTTTGGATACTGGTCGAAGAGGCAGTCAGATCTCCGGGCTGAGAGAGATCCTGAGTTTGCCCCACCGTCAGATTACTTTGTGGGTCAGAAGAGAACTGGTTTTTCCAGCAGCCAGGCATGGAGCAGGCCTGGGCCAGCACAGAGTGACCCAGGGCAGTGCTCTGACCAGAGCCACGGACCTAGCCCTGCACATATATCACCCACTCCTGCCCCCGACAACCCACCACAAGCCCCCACAGTTACTTTCAAAACTCTGGATGACATGATTTCCTATTACAAACAAGTGACTTGATCTTTCAAAGCACCCTGACTTGGGTTTGTACTTTGATAGTGCCTTTCTCTCCCAGAAGGAGAGAAATGACTTTAGGAACTGAATTTGTACCTTTGTCCTCTCCTTTTCCTAGGAGGCACACACTTGAGGTTGGATTGGTCAGTAAGGAGGAAAGTCGTGGAAACTTTGGCCACTTGGCTGTTCATTTCATTCTAAGAGGGATATGGACATACCTACCTGGATTTACACGTGAACTGCAATAGAATAGAAGTATTTATTCTGTAAAATTTGACACTGAGATGTGCTTAAAACCCTATCTGTTTCATACCTACTCCCATGACTTACTCATATTTAAGGGTTCTTTTCCATTCCTTTTGCAAATACTAGCATGCAGGTGTCTTTATTCCAAGGGTTCAGCTTCCAGATCAGCTGATGGAACATAGGTCAGGAGGAATTTCTCCCTGTCAAGCAGTGGCAGACTGCATGGGAGGCAAAATGCTCTGTTCTCCAAGAGGACCCGGAAGTAATCACATAGGAAATGATAAGGAAGACCAGGAGGAGCTCTTCATAGTCCAGAAAGGTAGAAGTGGGAGTTGTTTACTTACTTTTACTGTCATACCATCCTATTACCTACACTCCTGTGTGCAGTGGGCATTCAGTAAATGTGTGTTGAATGACGGACGTACGTGGAGGCTGCTGGACCTGGTCAGAGACTGATACGCCTTAGCGGCAATGGTTACAGCTTTTCAGCGCATCCCACCTCCCTGTCGCCCCCATGCTCAGCTTCCTCACATTCAGGAACCTGACTTGGATCAGACTTGGGGCTGCACAGTGGAGCAGGTGGGTCCCCATGTCATTAGTAACAAGGAGAGGGTTGGGGGTGGGCAGGGCTCCAGAAATTCAGCGAGGTGCCTGGGCACCCACCCCATCCTCTGCCTGCCACACCTCAGAGGGTTCCTACAGCTGCAGACAAGCAGTTGAGAGTTGATGACCAGGCCCATAGGGCTCCCATAGCTGGTTCCCAGGCCAGTGAGTGCTGTGAGAATGTGGTAGCACAAGTCCTTGATGTTCCTTGAGTGGGAAGGAGACGAGTGAGTGAAGGAGACTGTCCCCTGGGGGTCCTCTGCAATGGCATTGTCTCTGTTCCCACAGTGCTGCAGTGTGGAAGGGAGTGCCCCATCCTCATTACAGATAACACTGGAGTGTGGAGGGGTCGATGACTCGTGCAGGGTCATATGGTACCTAAGAAGCAGATCTCAGACTTAAACACAATTGATGTCTGACTCCCAGACAGTCTTTTCAGTGCCCTCTGCTCTTAGTTTTGTTGCCCTAGTATCAAGCAATCTTAGACAAACATCCTGAATTCTTACAAACTTACCTCTAAACACCGAGGGTAAAGGTGCCAGTCCTGTTAATGGTCAGCCTAATCATTCTGTCAGCCTAATCGGGTAATTGCTTTTTTTAATAAATACACATAAAAACCAGCTAACCCAGCTGCCTTTTTTGCAGAAATTGACAAGCTAATCTTAAAATTCACATAGAAATGCAAGGAACCCAGAATAGCCAAAACAATCTAGAGAAAAAACAGAGAGGACTCACACTTCCTGATTTCAAGACTAACCACAAAGCTACAGTAATCTACACAGTGTGGTAGTGGCATAAGAATAGACACATAGATCAGTGGAATAGAGGCGAAAGTCCAGAAATAAAACATATATCCATGGTCAACTGATTTTTGACAGTGGTGCCAGGACCATCCAGTGGGGAAAGAACAGTCTTTTCAACAAATGGTTCTGGGATAACTGAATATTCCATGCGAAAGAATGGGTTTGGACTTCTGCCTCATGCCACATACAAAAAATCAACTCACGATGAATTGAAGACCTAAATGTAAGAGCTAAAACTACAAAACCAACTGAAACAGCTTGTAGGATAAAGAGGGAGGAGAAAAAAAAATTGGAATACTAAAAAGAAAAATAGATTAGACATGCTAGAATCACAGGAAAAATAGAAAAAAGAAAGGGTAGAAAGAAAATAATGAATAGACAAAAGATGGAAAGAGGATGTATGTGTAACGCAGAGCAGAAGGACCCGAGGCTGACTGGAGTCAAAAGGAGAAGGGAGATAGGGGCAAGGCAGGCAGCAGGAAGAGTTGTAGGTATGGGAGCCAGCATCACAAAGGGTCCAGCCCAGGTGACCACATCCATGCCTGTGGCATTCGGGTGGATGACAAAGCAGTTGTGCTCGTTGGCTCATGGTAACTGTTGTCTAATAACTGTGAGTCACATTTTCTCTGGGATTTCAAAAACTAAATAAACCTATTTATAATCCTCTCTTAACAGTATAAATTTAGTTCAGTGTTTTGTGAGCCCTTTTCTGTTTCAGATCCAGTTCTTTGAGTATTGACACACCATCAGTCTTACTGTGTGACACGGGCCTGTCTTGTACCAGTGTATCCAGCAGATGGCATTAGAGTTCTTAGATGTCAGCTCCATACTCTTAAAACAGCACCCTCCAACAGAAATAAAAAATAAACCTGTGGCACATGCCTGTAATTCCAGCTACTTGGGAGGCTGAGGCAGGAGAATCGCTTGAACCTGGGAGGCGGAGGTTGCAGTGAGCCGAGATCGTGCCATTGCACTCCAGCCTGGGCAACAAGAGCGAAACTCCGTCTCAAAATTAAAAAAAAAAATAAGCCCAGAGTGTCATTTTCAATTTTCTAGCAACCATATTTAAAAAGTGAAATTATTTTTAACTCACCATATCCAAAATATTCCAACATGTACTCAATATATGCAAATTATTAGTGAGATCTGAAATTATTCTTTTTCATGCTAAGAATTCAGAACTCACTGTGTATCCAGTTATAGCATATCTCAATTTGGATGCTAACTTTTCATCAGGAATACTTGATCTGTATTTAGGTTTTATAAAATGTGCAGTTGAAAAACACAAATTCATATCCAAGTTGTTCCAAAGATACTTAAACATAGTAAAGTTTTTCAGTAACTGAATTGAATATCAAGTTTGAAAAAATAAAACCCAGTTCCTTAGTCATGCTAACCTCGTTTCAGATGCTCAAAGGGTCCGTGCATCTAGTGCTGCTGTCCTGGACACAGCGGCTCCAAGTGATCTGCTTTTACACGCTTCCTGGTCCGACTAGACATAATCCTCCCATTAGTAACTAAAGTATTGGCCAATACATTTCTCCCAGGCAGACATTAAACATTCACAGTACTCTGTGGCCATGTTTAACTTGGGAGCAAGTAGTGGCAAAACCTCCTATAGAAAAACATGACCACACCTCATTCGTGCCTTTGTTGAGCTAAGCAAAATGCTTTAGATCAAAAATTGCCCGGAATTACTTACTTTCATTGTAATCTCTCCTCCAGGCCTTTGTGTGTTTTGATAGAGTTCGTTTGAATTGGCTCAATAAATCATTTTGTTTGCTGCAGAATTCCCAAAGGAGAACATTCAGATCCATATACATGAGATTCCTGCTGCGTTTAGCCATACATTTACCAGACTTGTGGGGCCGTTTATTCCCAGTGAAAGCTCAAGTGCAGCCCTCAGGGAGGTTTACAGCTGACCTTGTTGTGACATGCAGATGAGGTAGTTGAGTTTAGAATTTGGAACGGGGATGGGTACTGGTCTTCACAGTTAACACAACCTGGAGTTGCCCATGCCATACTGTGTCCTTTTAAGTCAGTAAATTGAGCTAAGTCGGTTATTTGGCAAGCAGTTCGTGTAAAAAACTACATGGCTAAGGTAAGTGATGATAATTGAAAGGAATTCATTGACCCACTGAAAAGATGAGAGTAGACGAAACTACCGCAGTCATCCTGCCTGACCGCCCCGTTAGCTGGCTGGGTCAGGTGTTTTGCCCCGGTGGGCTGTGGACATTATCTTCATGTTTAAGGTGTGTGTACTGGGGGCAAGAGGCCAGGGATGGTGTGATTGGTGTAGGTCATTGTCTAGGAAAGCTAGAAAATCCAAATGTTCAAAGGAAGTAAGGTGTTGTAGTGAAAACCTGTCATCTTGGCCTATTGATGTTTTGTTATGGTGTTTCTTAATAAATCCCAGGCTGCATCTATATAGTCACTCATACATAGTAAGTGAGCATTTGTCCAGTGGTAGAAGTAGCCAGAAATATTGCATCTCTTCTGCCCTCAATTGAAACATCTTCTTTCTCTACTGTATTTCTTTTGTTTTTTTTTTTTAATTTTTTTTTATTTTTTTTTCTGAGATGGAGTCTTACTCTGCTGCCCAGGCTGGAGTGCACTGGCACAATCTCAACTCACTGCAACCTCCTCTCCCCAGGTTCAAGCAATTCTCCTGCCTCAGCCTCCCAAGTAGTTGGGATTACCGGCATGTATACCACCACATCCAGCTAACTTTTGTATTTTTAGTAGAAATGGGGTTTCACTCATGCTGGCCAGGCTGATCTCGAACTCCTGACCTCAGATGATCTGCCCGCCTCGTCCTCCCAAAGTGCTGGGATTACAGGTGTGAGCCACCATGCCCGGCCCTCCACTACATTTCTAATTGCCACATTCTCCCTAACTCAAAGCTCACATGCTTGGTAACAGTTTGGCCAGGTTTTAAGCATTTTCTCTGTTGTGTACTGCATTCCTTCCCCTCCACCTACCCCCGCCTTTTTTTTTTTTTTTGGTCATTATTCCCTGAGGTTGAACAGAGTGTCCACTTCCCCTCACCCCACCCCACACCACCCTCTCCACACACAGCCATAGTTCACAGTTTTTGAAAACCAAAAAATACAAGAGTGGGCCCTGTTCCCAGTGCAGGTCTCCCAGGTTGCAAGTAGTCTGGTAACTGTGCCACTGTCTTTGCTGGGAACCCAGGTTTTACTGTTTTTCCAAAAAGAATTACCTTTTCCTTAAAAGGTTTTGTATCTCTGTGTTCAACTTATGATCTGTACAGGTTTTCATGGAATGTGTAATCAGTGTATACACACCATTTGGTTCTTCTTTAACATTTCTAAAACTGAGCTTCCTTGTTATTTTTAGTTGTTGCCTAATAGTTCATCAGCTTAACGTACATCATTATTTCACTATAGGGAATGAAGTGGCTATAAGCATCTTTTAGTACGATTTAACAAACATAGGTCTTTATATAGATACCTTCCCCCACACTCCTCCCCCAGTTTTCTAACTGTCCCCTGGGGTGCCACTTTCATTAGCGGGATCACTGGGTCAAAGAGATGGTCGATTTTATGTTTCTTGATGGGTCTTGTCAGGAGACCCATCACAGTAAGGGCCCTTTGATACCACAGTGAATCTCCTTGTGAATCCACTCCAGGATGGCCACCATGAGATTCCAGTGTCACATTAAACCTTGGCTTTGCATGAAGTTAAGCTCAACCTTATGTGCAGTGGCCCCGACCCTGCTCACCCTAAGATCCACTTCTCTCTAGCCGAGCCCTTCTTTCCTTCTCTCTGCCAAGAGAATTCAAGCATCTGTCCAGAATGCTGTTTTATATGCTTAACAGTACAGAGAACAGCATCTATTCATTTTCCTAGGCCCACCTCCATTTGTTTTATGCATCTAATGAGGGCTGATTCTCAGACCTGTCCTAGCCTAAAGCCATGCCTGCTCACAAATTGCAGTCACGCGCTGACATCTGGACTCGCTGCCCTTATCAGAAGTATTTCTGATTAAAATCAGAAAGCCAGAAACTAGAGAAAATAGCAGAGAACGCCACGACCAGATAACCTGAGGAGGCTTAGTTTGATTTTCTTAAGTATACAGCTGTGTATGCTTTGACCGAAAAATGTGTTCTGGATCAGTGCCCATAAAGGGGTGGCGGTATGCCATCTCTCTGCTTTTAAATCTATGCCCATTTCCCTTCAGCTGCCTTCTGATTGAGTACCCTTGATTTTCCTGAAGCTCATTCAGAACTTCCCTTTTCCTGCTTTTGCGCCACCATGTACCCTTGGCAGTTTGCTGGGTCTATGCCTTTTTATACCCTTCCAGGTACTCCTAGGACTAGAAATGTTTTTTTTTTTTTTTTTTTAGATGGGGTTTCGTTCCCGTTGCCCAGGCTGGAGTGCAATGGCACGATCTTGACTCACTGCAACCTCTGCCTCCCGGGTTCAGGCAATTCTCCCGCCTCAGCCTCCTGAGTAGCTGAGATTACAGGTGCACACCAGCACACCCAGCTACTTTTTGTATTTTTACTGGAGACAGAGTTTCACCTATGTTGGCCAGGCTGATCTTGAACTCTTGACCTTAGGTGGTCTGCCCACCTTGGCCTCCCAAAGTGCTGAGATTACAGGAGTGAGCCACCATGCCTGGCCTGAACATCCTTTTTGATTGTAGGCAGAAGTAAGTGTGCTGTGGGTGCAGCTCACGTCCTTGGCTAACCCCTAGCAGCAGCTGTCCATCTCGCAGTCACCCCCACCGTACTTCCCTCCATGCTGCCAGCAGCGGAAGGAGCACTCTACAATGCAGATGCCTCCTTTGTTTGCCAACTTCAGTAGTTTCCCATCAGCTACAAGATCAAGCTCAGGCTCCTCTCACCTGGTCCTACCCTCATCACCTCTACAGTACCCTGTAGCAGCCTCCAGTTCCTTGCTGTTCCCCAAACTTGTCAGGGCTGTTTGGAGCCTTCAGCCCATACAAGAGCTGTGCCCATCACCTGGAATACAACCTTTGACCACTTCAAATAATGACCTTTTTTCTACTTAACATTTACTGATCACTCAACTCTGTGCTGTGTGTGTGCTGGCCCTTCACACACACCACCTCCCTAATCCTCACAGTCCTTGAAGGTGGGGACTAGTGTCACATGTGGTCATTGGGAACATCACACAGATCAAAGGCTGGGTTCAAGGTCACATCGCCTGAACACACATTCATGTGATGTGAGAACCTTAACTCTAGGCCTTCCAGTGACACTTCCGTCTCTGGGTTTCCATTCCGCCTTGCAGAGAGCACTCTGACTTACTGTAGCCTTCTGTGTGTGTGTCTCCCCTCTCTACTGTGAGCCCTCGGGAGGAGGGCCCATGCCTTCCCCATCCCTGTCCCAGAAGCTGACTGGAAACAGCGGAGACATGCAGCATATTGTTGACTGAAGAAGGTGCTGCGTCCATGGTCATCCCTCATATCTTTTATAAATTTCTTTTTTTTTTTTTTTTTTTTTTTTTTGAGACGGAGTCTCACGCTGTTGCCCAGGCTGGAGTGCAGTGGCGCGATCTCGGCTCACTGCAAGCTCCGCCTCCCGGGTTCCCGCCATTCTCCTGCCTCAGCCTCCTGAGTAGCTGGGACTACAGGCGCCCGCCACCGCGCCCGGCTAATTTTTTGTATTTTTAGTAGAGACGGGGTTTCACTGTGGTCTCGATCTCCTGACCTTGTGATCCGCCCGCCTCGGCCTCCCAAAGTGCTGGGATTACAAGCTTGAGCCACCGCGCCCGGCCTATAAATTTCTTATACATTTTATTTCTTTGTGGGAATTGCATCTTGAAGCTTTGTTTATAGCCATCTGCGTGGGTCCCTTAGGCTATGTGGCTGACTTTAATACCACAGATATTTTTCCATTTCTGGCATGTAGCAACACTGGGCTGAGCATTGTAGAGATTATAAAAGAGAAGACATGGCCCCTGCCCTCCAATTGCAGAGATGATACCATATGGGACACAATTAGCCATTAAAGACAATACATTTCAGTATTTGCATGGAGTATTTGATTATATAGCCGATGCAAATTCTTGGGAATGATATACAAGGCCCTGCAAGATCTGATTCTAGACCACTTTCCAAGTTTCATCTGCTACTCTCCCACAGATCCCCCCACACCCCAGCCATACCGAGGTACATGCAGTCTTTGGAGCCCACCATGCTTCCAGTGTCATCATCTCTTGGTAGGTGCTGTTCCTTCTTCCTAGAATGCCTGTCTCTTCCTATCTGCCTGGCAACTTCTTACTCATCTTTTAGAACACCGTCTAGTGCCAATTCTTTCCTTTTTTTTTGTTTTGTTTTCATGGTCTTTGTACATTTTTCTGTAGCGTGACCCTTATCACGTAAGTCGATTTTGTAAGTCAGCCCTGCCTGGTAGCTGCTGAGCTACTTGAGGTCAAGATCCAGGTCTCAGTGATGGAAAAATGAATGACAAAATAGAAACTGGATAAATGGAAAAGGAAGGAGTGATGATCTAACATGGCTGGGGGTCAGTCGGGAATCACTTTCAATGGCCAGAATAGAGAGCTGAATAAAGTGGCTTAAAGGCATTAGAGGTTCATTTGCATGTGGGAAAAGCTTGGAGGTGGATGGTTAAGTGCTGGCATGGGTGCCACAATGTCATCAGGAGCCCAGGTTCTGCCGCGCAACTTGGCCATTTTTAATGCGAGGTTTCCCTCTTCAGGGTAACCTTGTGGCTCAAAACGGTTGCTGGAGCTGCAGTCATCTTATCCATTTCAGGCAAGAAGGACTAGAGAGGTCAGCTCGTAAAAAAAAAAAAAAAAAAAAAAAAAAAAAAAAAAAAAATGTTCTTTCCCTGAAGGCAGCCTCCTTCAAACAGATTTCTCAGGGTCCTTTACCCAGGAGCTTCATCTGTATCTCAGGTCAGGATGTAGTCACATGGTCACCTCTAGCTGAGTTTTGAAGAGATGTAAATATACGGAATAAACATAGGTTATCTCCACATTTAATTTAAAATGACACTGCTTTTTAAAACAGATTTTAGATCTGAATACACATTTCTCAGAAAAAGATATAAAATGGCCGATAAGCATATGAAAAGATGCTTAGGGAAATACAAATTAGTCATTAGGGAAATAGAAATCAGAACCACAATGAGACATAATTTCACATCTACGAAGATAGCACTGGAGTCAAAAAGATGTAATAACAAGTGCTGGCAAAGAGAAATTGAATTCTTTTTTTTTTTTTTTTTGTGAGATGGAATCTCACTGTGTTGCCCAGGCTGGGGTGCAGTGGCAGGATCTCAGCTCACTGCAAGCTCTGCCTCCCAGGTTTACGCCATTCTCCTGCCTCAGCCTCCTGAGTAGCTGGGACTACAGGCACCTGCCACCTCGCCGGGCTAGTTTTTTGTATTTTTTAGTAGAGACGGGGTTTCACCATGTTAGCCAGGATGGTCTCGATCTCCTGACCTTGTGATCCGCCCTTCTCGGCCTCCCAAAGTGCTGGGATTACAGGCTTGAGCCACCGCGCCCGGCCCGAGAAATTGAATTCTTATAAAGCCACTGGTGGGACTGTGAAATGATGCAGCAGTCTGGCAGGCCCTCACAAAGTTAAATACTGACTTACCCTATGACCCAGCAATCCCACTTTTCGGTATACATATGCAAGAGAATGAAAACATACACCCACACAAAAGCTTATGTATGCATATTCATAGCACTATTCATAAAAGCCAAAAAATAAAAATAACCAAAATGCCCATTAACAAATGAGTAGATCAACAAATTGTGGTATATCCATACAGTGGACTATTATTCTGCCATTAAAAGGATTAAAGTACTGATACATGCTATATAACATGGATGAATTTCAAAAACATTACAGCAAGTGAAAGAAGACAGTCACAAAAAACCAGAGTCGATGATCCTATTCTTATGAAATGTCCAGAACAGGCAAATCCATAGAGACAGAAACTAGATGAATGGTTGCCTGAGGGTGAGGGGAAATGGAGTGACTGATGATGGGTTTTGTGTGGGGGCAATAAAATGTTCTAAAATTAGATAGTAGTGGTTGTACAACTCTGAATATACTAAAAACCATTGTACACACGTTTAAAAGGGTGGATTGTATGTGAATTCTATCTGAATAAAGCTGTTCGAAAATTCAGCTTTTATCTGTAAGATATATCTTCAAAATTAACCTCCAAAAACAAAGGAACTGGTGGCAGGAGGCAGGGGGGACAAATTTCCCAAACCAGTTGATATTTCAAGATTTGTATTAGTTATCTCCTTCTTCTCATTTGAGTCCTGACTTTAAAAAAAGGAAAACTCTGCCCTGCACTGTCAGGGTCGGATCCCTCTGGCTGGTTGCCCAGATGACTGGAATTCTGAGTGGTTTCTTTGTCCTGTGGACTTATAATTTCAAAAACAAAGCCTCTTTTTCCCAGTCTGCAAAGCTGAGGAATGGAGATGTCAGGGGGTCAACAAATAGGCGTAGGAAGCCACTGTATCTGCAAAATAGCAGCATGCTAGAAGGGTTTGCTCTTTGGGGCTCATGTTCCTTGGAGATTTTGTTACTGATAGATGGACAGAGGCAGGTCAGAGACCATGAAAAAGTAATGTGGTGTTTGGAAAGGCCTCCGTGCCAGGAGTCTGCAGATGGTGACTCCTGACCAAGAGCTCTGATTCCTCAGAAAAACAAGAAAGATGATAGCCTTCTCACCACTGGGTTGACACACGAGTTCATGGCCCTGAGCCTATCCTGTAAACACGGAAGGTGGGCACCAGGCAGGCTGTCCTGGAATGGCGAACTTGGGGTGGCTCCGGGGGGGACAGAGTTTGAAAAGGGAAAGGGAGCATTGTCTAGTGGAAAAGAAGACATAGGTGTGTCGGCTGGAGTGGTTGTCAGGATAAAAGGTGGTCGAAGAGATGGTTGGACAGCTGCACTCACTGACAAGTGTGGTCAGAAGCCTTGGGCCAGCAGCCCTTCGTGGTAAGTGGACTGGTTAGGGTTGTTGGAGTTGGACAACAGGAACAACTCACTAACTCTGCATCAAGGTGCTAAAGATGGCCATCAGCAAAGGGGACAGACCTCCCCACCCCTCCTCCTCTAAGTCTCCCTCGGGTTGACCTTTGCTATGTGCTCTGGATTCTTGAGTCTTTCACAAAGGCTCACACGCTCATAAAGTCCCTTGGGAATTACAAGAAACAAATCATTTTTGCGTAGCATAAGATGTGGCTAGTTTTAATTTGATATATTACTAAAGACTGCTGTCAGGTTCATTTTGATCAGAAAGATGGAACTTTCGGTATCTGGTTACAAAACTCTGCCAGTGTATTTACAGGTTTTTCTAGCCTTTTTTTTTTTTTTTTTGCTCATTAAATTGTTCTTTATGCTTCCTCTCTTCAACCAGTGGTCTATTTTTCATATAAGTTAAGAAGGTAAAAATAAAACACAATGTAGAAATATGTCAGGGTAAACACTACTGTAGTATTAAAGTGGAAAAATATTTATTATAGTCCATTGATTTTCAGGCACGTATTTTCCAACTTGAACATCTCTGAAATTGTGGTATGTCTTACAGTCAATGGCAGGTTACATTCATTTTTTTCTTATAAGATGGTGCATCCTTTGATCATGAATGTCTTGGATTTGATGAAATCTGGCAAATTATATTAGTGATTGAGCTTAGAAAATGCATTGTTCTCATTCTTTCCTGTCTGCCCTCAGATGTACGTGTTGGATAATTCCAAGCCTAACTTGGCATTGCAACCAGGAGCTTCTGCATCCCTCGCTTCCAAAGAGAACCAGTGAAACATCTTTTTGTTCTTGCAGGTTCTTATTGATTGACCACAAGCAGATCTTCCACCCTCGGATCTCTAACTACAAAAGGTGCAATGGGACCTTTCTCTCTTCCCCAGCCTTTCCATTCCTCCAGCCCCCCAGGGTCCTATACCCAGTTTGTGTGACTGTCCTTGAAGCTTTCCTGGAACCATACTTATCACCAGACCCTTCCCAAAGTGACTCATTAACATTGGTCTCTCTGATGGTGTCTCTGGGTAGGTAAGGGAGGGGGACATCCTCTTGCCCTACTATGGGGAGAGTGACTAACTCTTTTCTTGTCCTTTCCGGATAGGAACCACTGGCTCAATGACCTGTAAGGGTCATTTCAGCACATCCATTCTGTCCATCTCCAAGCCTTCACCATAGGGAAGAACTTTTGCTCTCAGTCACCTCTCAGAGAGCTCTCTTTATAGCTGAAGGTCCCTCTCATGAGTTACATCAAGAGTAACCTAGAATTATACCAGCAGTACACAGCCATGGCCCCCAAGCTACTGGCCCGCATCTCCAAACTCCTCATGATCTGCCAGAATGCAGGCATTTCTATACCAAAGGGCATCAGAAACATCTTTGAGTTCACTTGGGAAGAGCTCATCAGTGACCCTTCAGTGCCTACCCCGTCCGACATCTTGGGCCTGGAGGTCAGCTTTGGAGCCCCCCTGGTGGTGCTCATGGAACCCACCTTTGTGCAGGTCCCCACACTGAAGAAGCCACTACCTCCACCACCACCAGCACCACCATATCCAGTGCTGCTGGCAACCACTGCCAAGCGCTCCACCCTCACTCCCACCATGGCCCGTCAGGAGCGCGCCCAGCAGGAGACCCTGAACAGGTTTCAGCAGCAGTCCATCCACCTGCTGACGGAGCTCCTCAAACTGAAGATGAAGGCCATGGTGGAGTCTATGTCGGGTAAGCCCCAGATGTTTGTGTATGTGCCCACCACACCCACTACAGACAGGCATCTCAGAGGCACATGCTGGGAACAGGTGGCAACCGTGGGTATGCTGTAGGAATTGGATGCCTTCCCTCTGCAGCTCCTGGAATCATCCTCTCACTCCTCCCTGTTCTCCCATTTTTCCTGCCATTGCCCCACCTTTGCAGAGTCCAGATTTGAAGGTTAGCAATAAGAATGGTGTGAGGTCAGAGGCACTGAGGAGTAGTATTTGTGAGAATGATGCTGAGGTGGGGAGACAGCACCCATGTCCGGGTGGCATGTGAAGTTTTCTTTTTTTTTTTTTTTGAGACAGAATCTCGCTCTGTCCCCCAGGCTGGAGCATAGTGGCCGGATCTCAGCTCACTGCAAGCTCCACCTCCCAGGTTTACGCCATTCTCCTGCCTCAGCCTCCCGAGTAGCTGGGACTACAGGCGCCTGCCACCTCGCCCGGCTAGTTTTTTGTATTTTTTTTTTTTTAGTAGAGACGGGGTTTCACCGTGTTAGCCAGGATGGTCTCGATCTCCTGACCTCGTGATCCGCCCGTCTCGGCCTCCCAAAGTGTTAGGATTACAGGCTTGAGCCACCGCGCCCGGCCAGCATGTGAAGTTTTCAAATCAGGAGGGCAGATTGGGAAGTAGCCAGACAGAGCCCAGTAGAGCCAGAATGAGGGGGAGTCATAAGAATCAGGGTCCCAGGCCAGGCGTGGTGGCTCACCTCTGTAATCTCAGCACTTTGGGAACCCGAGGCAGGAGGATCACAAGGTCAGGAGTTCGAGACCAGCCCAGCCAATATAGTGAAACCCTGACTCTACTAAAAATACAAAAATTAGCTAGGCGTGGTGGTGCACACCTGTAATCCCAGCTACTCGGGAGGCCGAGGCAGGAGAATTGCTTAAACCCAGGAGGCCGAGGTTGCAGTGAGCCGGGATCATGCCACTGCACTCCAGCCTGGGCGATAGAGTGAGACTCCATTTCAAAAAAAAAGAACCAGGGTCCTTCCAAAGTGAGGGTGCCATCCCAGGATCAAGGCCAGGACCTAGAGCAGCACCAGTGATCAAGACTTCTGGATGCTGCGTCATTTCAGAAACCAATAGCATCGGTACCCAGGCCTATGGGTAGGAAGAGAGACAGGCAGAGGGAGGAGAGCAAAGCAACACCTGAAAGGTCCTGAGAGCTTGAGAGCCTTTCGCAGTAGCTCCCTCACCCCTGCATACCCTAGGAATAGTGCTCTACTTTACCCTTCTTTCCTGGGCCATTTACAGAGGTCCCTTACTGGAAGCATTAGCCCTGTGCTAGGAGGGACATGTGTTGTTTCTCTCATTGCTTTAGTGGGTGCCAACCCCTTGGACATCACCAGGCGCTTTGTGGAGGCCAGCCAGCTCCTCCACCTCAATGCCAAGGAGATGGCCTTCAACTGCCTGATCGGCACAGCTGGGAGAAGTGGCTACAGCAGCGGACAGTTGTGGAAAGGTGGGTACTTGAGCTTCAGCCTTTAGGTGGGAAGTGCAAACAATATCAGCAGGAATGCAATGGAAAGGCAAAACCCCCAGTTTGAAGGTTTGACATTTCTAAGAATTGAGGTGGATGTGGAGCAACAGGTTTCAAATGCTACGGGTGAGTGGATGAATTGGTGCAATTCCCGTGGAGAGTGGTTTGGTGGTATCTGCTGAGTGGGCGATGGCTACACCTCACAACCCAGCAGCTCCTCTTAGAGGTTGTTCCCTAGAGCTGTGCTCTCAAGCTATGTGCAGTGAAATACTTATGTTTAAAATGTCCAATCTGTTGTGGACCGACCCTTTTAAACACACGATAAATGTCACAGCAGTGTCAAGTTGCTGCACAGGCCTCTCAGTGCTCACCTTCAGTTTTTGTGCTCGCCTGGTCATGGCCTGTATGGGTCAGTGGCAGTCCACAGGCTGCACTTGAGTCATACAGCCCGAGGGAAGCTCACACACATATTCAAGAAGTCATACAAGAATGTTTATTGCAGGCAGGCATGGTGGCTTATGCCTGTAATCCCAGCACTTTGGGAGGCCAAGGCAGTAGGATCCCTTGACTCCAGGAGTTCAAGACCAGCTTGGGCAACATAGTGAGACTCTGTCTTTAAATTAAAAATAAAAAAAGAAATGTTTATTGCAGAATTCTTTGGAATGGCAAAAATTAATCCAAGTGTTTATGAACAAGAGAAAAAGATATAAATTAAGGTCCATTTAGACAGTGGGACATAATGAATCATGAAAATGAGTGAGGCACTAAAGCATAGATATTCACAGAGAGAAATCTCCAATGATAGTATTAAGGAAAAAAAGAGGAAGCTATGGGATGATATTATTTTTCAAAGTTTAAAAGCATGTAAAGTAGTAATATATCATAGGTATATTACACAAAGCACAAGTATAAAAACATGAAGGGGGAAATTTGAGGAAGTGATCTCTGGGGAGAGAGAAGGGGAACAGGATCTGGAAGATAGCAAGCAATTGAGTCCGTAATGTTCTTTTTGTTGCTTTTTTCTCACCCAGTGAACTCTGTCTCTCTGTCTCTCTCTTTCTCTGTGCGTGTGTGTGTGTGTGTGCGTGTGTGTGTGTGTGTGCGTGTGTGTGTGTGTGTGCGTGTGTGTGTGTGTGCGTGTGTGTGTGTGTTGAGAACACAAAATCTACTTCCCAAGCAAATTTTGAGTGTGCAATACAGTGATATTAACTGCAGTCACCATGCTGTATATTAGTTCTCCAGAACTCATTCCTCTTATAAGTGAAAGTTGGTACCCTTTGACTAATATCTTCCCACTCCCCGGCTGCCACCCTCCAGTCCTGTGAACCACCATTCACTCTCTGCTTCTATGAGTTTGAGTTTGACTTTATTAGATTCCTCATATACGTGAGATCATACAGGATTTGTCTTTTTTTTTTTTTTCGGCTTTTCTTTTTTTCATTCAGCATATAATATATTCTAGGTTCACTCATGTTGTAGCAAATGGCAGGATTAACTTTTTTTTTTTTTTTTTTGAGACGGAGTCTTGCTCTGTCGCCAGGCTGGAGTGCAGTGGCACGATCTTGGCTCACTGCAACCTCTACCTCCCAGGTTCAAGCGATTCTCCCGCCTCAGCCTCCTGAGTAGCTGGGACTACAGGCATGCGCCACCACACCCAGCTAATTTTTGTATTTTTAGTAGAGACAGGGTTTCACCATGTTGGCCAGGATGGTCTCGATCTCTTGACCTCATGATCTGTCTGCCTTGGCCTCCCAAAGTGCTGGGATTACAGGCATGAGCCACCATGCCCAGCCCAGGATTTCCTTTTTTAATAGCTGAATCCTAATCGTGTGTGTGTGTGTGTGTGTGTGTCTGTGTGTCTGTGTGTGTGACATTTTCTTTATCCATTTATCCTTTGATGGACACTTAGGTGGTTTCCATATCTTGGCTATTGTGAATAATACTGTAATGAGTATAGGAGTGCAGATATCTCTTTGAAATACTGATTTCTTTTATTTGGATAAATACCCAGAAGTGAATTGCTGGATCATGTGGTAGTTCCATTTTTAAATTTCGGAGGAACTCCATACTGTTTTCCATGACAGCAGCACCAATCTCCATTCCCACCAGCTGCGTACAAGGGTTTCCTTTTCTCCACACTTTTGCCAGCACTTGTTAGTTTTTGTCATTTTGGTAATAGCCATTCTAAAAGATGTAACGTGGTATCTCATTGTGGTCTTGATTTGCATTTTTCTGATGATTACTGACACTGAGCGATTTTTTCATATAACTATTGGCCATTTGTGTCTCTTCTTTTGAGAAATGTCTATTTGGGTCCCTAATGCATTTTTAAATGAAGTTATTTGGTTTTTGCTCTGCAATGTTTTATGTCTTAAGCTTGGTGAATACACAGGTGTTCATTTTGAATGCCTAAAAGTACTCACTGATGTGAGGTTTTATAGGAAGCATAAAAAAATTCTATCTCCCAACAATTTGCCCTTACCTGTAGAGTCAGTCCCCATTTAGCCTCTCTCCCTGTCCACTGAGTCAGTGTCTTTGTCAGGCTCCCTTGATGGTCAGAGATTAAACATCTGGTAATACACACATACAGTGCAAATAAATTACATAGAAAAATTGCAGATCTTGGGGAAAAAAAGGTAAGATTTCATGAAGTCAATGAAAGTGATGCTGGAGAGCTGCAGAATGCCCCTCCAATGCCCCTGATGCCTGATGGGGCGAAGCAGCACTAGCTGCCTGCCACAGAAGGGAAAACTGAATACAGGACCATGACTCCACGGAGAAAAAATAAAAAGCAGTAAAGATCTTCAATAATTTTGCAAAAGGAAAAGATGAAGGGCCTTATGTTTTATTGCCGTGATACAATCATTCAGGAAGAAAGAAACCCTACTGCCTCAAAACACCCAACAGTCATTTTTACTTGCTTTGTAAGACTTAATGTGTTCTTAGAGTACCAACTAATTTTTTAAAATACAAGATCAAATGTTATTTTGATAAATTTTGGCTTCCTTTTCTAATACAAAGTTGTGATAAAACACTCTTCCCCCCAGTGTTTACCATGAAATGAAGATCTCTGTTTTAGGGGAAGTTACACTGTGCTTGTTTTGTTTAGAATCAGCTAGACTCTGAGGCCACAGGTCCTCTAGTTGTGCTGTAATTATTTGTGCAGGTGGTGATCACCAGACAGAGCTCTGCACCTTGCATTCTGTTTTGGGGCTTAGAGCTCTCCCTCATTTGGGGGCACAGCTGCTAAGTAGTCTGTTGCATGTGCATGAGAGCCCCGTGACAGATGTCAAGGTAGCTCCAGCCCAACCCTTGGGCCTCATATCTGCCTGAGCCACTCCTAACTAAATATCATGTCTCCTCACCTTTAAAAGGAAAATGGTCCTCACCACTAACCTCCTTCTCATAAAGTGTTTCAGCATTCTTTCAGGATGAGGGAGGCGCAGTGGCTTCTGGCATCCCATGTGGGTTGTGATTCATCTAATGGAGAAGAATGGGAAGTGAGTTAAGCTGAGCTGGCGGGGGCAGGGGGCCTTTTGGGTGATCTCTGCATCTTGCTGTCCTGCTGCAGCAGCCGATTGCTGAGAGTGCCCCTCTCCATCACACTCCCTAGCAAGCCTTCCTGTCTTGTTGGCACTTGCTGATGCAGATGCTCCTCTCTTTAAATAAGCCTAGAGTTTAAAGACAAAAATCTAAGTAGCAAAACAAAAACAGAGTGATCCATTTCTTTTGGAAAAACACTCATTCATCCTAAAAGGACTTTACTTAGATAGTGCTCCTGGGGCATAAAAAAGAAGACTCAAACTCTGGTGATTTTTTTTGCATGAATTATGTTTTTTTGGGACCATCCTCTTATGTGAGGTAGACAAAAGCTGGTTAAAAGTTAAAAGAGTTAACAACTTTTAAAGTTGTTATCAGGCCAAGTGTGGTGGCTCACGACTGTAATCCCAGCATTTTGGGAGGCTGAGGCAGGAGGATTGCTTGAGGCCAGGAGGTCAAGACCAGCCAGGCCAACATGGTGAAACCCTGTCTCTACTAAAAATATATTAAAAAATTAGCCAGCCATGGTGGCACACATCTGTAGTCCCAGCTACTCGGGAGGCTGAGGCAGGAGAATCGCTTGAACCTGGGAAGCAGAGGTTGCAGTGAGCTGAGATTGTGCCACTGCACTCCAGCCTGGATGACAGAGTGAGACTGTCAAAAAAAAAAAAAAAAAAAAAAAAGCTGTATCTGTGTATCTGGAATATCTCCTGTGCTAAGTAGTCTTCCCTCCTGTCCTGATACCTACTAGCCCTGGCTTGTCACTGAAGAAAACCAGACTGCTCCTTTATTTTTAGTTGACGACAATATTATTAATAAAAATGCAAAAAAGAGGAAACAATCCTGCCATCTTTATATAAGAGCTACGTTTCACCTTGGCAGTTTCCTCTGTGGTTCCTGTGCTCATGTATGTATATATATTTTTAGGGTATTGCAGTTTTTCTGTTTCTTAGTTTCTTTTACTTAACAGAGTACAACTGTTTTCCAATATGGCTGTATACTTTAAATAATTGTCAGTTTGAGTGGGCATAGACTCCTTGTAATGTTCATGTTCCACATTTACCTAAATGTTTAGGTTTCCAGGCTTTTTGTTATTTGTATAATATGCACTTTATGCACGTGGCTTCTTATTTCTGTTGTGTTTGGTTAACTTCCCAGGGGAGGGATTATTAAAGCAGAGGTCTCAGTATATACATAGCTCTTCTTCTGAAATCACACTTAATTTGGATTCTCTCTACACCAACAGGGTTGATGGGTTTTATTCCTTCTTTACCATTACTGGCCATTGTTAGTTCTTTTCATTTCTACCAAGTTAGAAGGTCCTGAAAGTTGTTTTAATTTCAGCTTCTGGATCACTCGCAGAGGTGATTACTTTTGTGTTTTATCATCCATTGTGGAATCTTTGTAGTCTTTATCTGCTTAGGAGGTCCAGTTTGCCATTTTCTTTTTGAATTTGAGTGAGCTGTGGTGAGTGAATCACCTAACATTTTCTAACAATGGTTTCATGCCTAACCAGTGAAATGACTATATTTGGGGGAAGAATAAACAAATGATTTGGTGAGGTTTGTGTAAGAATGAGCAAGATTTTCCACTAGCCATAAGGGTGCTACATTTTAATTCTTAAGTGGTCAGACATCAAATGATTCTACACAAGATGGTGTGATTCTGCAAGAGACTGATATATTATTGAAGAAGCATCTGATTTCTGTGGCTTAGGTAAGGGGGAATAGATGATTCTTAATTTCCTTCTTACTGGCCCAAGGCTTATCCTCTCAACCTGGTGTAGCACCGATATCTGCCTTTGCCCTTGGAGTAATATCACCTTTTGTGCTTGCTTGCTGTTCCTTGTTCCGGTCCGCATCTTGAGGGTTGGGGAGGAGAGGCACTAGCAGAGGGGAACTATAAAGATTTCCCCTAATTGCTCTGCCGGTGCATTGCAAAATCTCCTTCTTCCAAGATCTAGGTGTTTTGTAACAATGCGTCACTTTACAGTATCTGACCCACCATACTACTAGAATAAGAAATCCATGTTACATTTTTGGCTAATAAAATTAAAAGTAAACAGTTTAAAGAAGAATCTCTCTCTCTCCCACTCCAGAGTCCCTCGCAAACATATCCGCCATTGGGGTGAACTCGCCTTACCAGCTGATCTACCACTCTTCCACAGCCTGTCTGAGCTTTTCCCTCTCTACTGGAAAAGAAGCCAAGAAGAAAATAGGTAACAATGGTTGCTAGCAAGACCTCATAGCCTACCATTCATTGGTGGTGGCAGTGGGGTGGGGGATAGGTTTCTGTCTACCCTGTGTAGGTTGGTGGGATGGTTTGATTTGGTCTTCTGATTGGAAGGATACATAGTGGCTCCACCTGGAGATCCAGCAGCTGTCCACACAGATTTACTCATGGAAAGGTTGTCACAGCCAGCCCTATCACTGCATAGCACGGGCTCATCATTTCAGTTTGCTCGTGCCCTGCTTTCCCAGTGATGTGGTGTCCCTCCCCTGGGACAACATCCCACCAAACCCATCTCTTCCACCCCCTACAGTATCCCAAACTCACGCCTCTGCTCAGACAGCTCTGTCCAGTCACGCAGCAAGTGAGGGAACTAGTATCTGAAGAGAGGCATTTGGATATCAAACCTGGTAGACCTCAGTTGCACATCCCAAACTGGGCAAGTTTGTGTGGGCAGGAAACAAAGACATAGAAGATACTCCTATTCTACTGAGGAAGACACACACAGGAGAGGCTTCAGGAAGAGAACAGGTGGCAGATGAAGACAAGCAGTCTAACAACACCTGCTCAAGAAGAAGCTCAGAGGAGAGACAGGCTGGGGCTGCAGAGAGCAGGGAAAAGCCTGGCAGAACTCCCAAGTCCACCCTGCTAGCCATGACAGATGGGTTGTGGGGACAGGGTAGGTAGGAGAGGACCACGTTCCTGAAGGTGGTGAGAGGGGGTGGATGGTAGGCAGGAATGCTCAAGCTGTCCAGTTGATTCCCACTGACACTGGAGGTAAGGCTGGAAGCCAAGGAGCTTGGATTTCCTCTATGCCCCCACCCCTGGCTGGCTGTGTGACCCACGTTCCTCAGCCCTCACCTCCATGTCGGTAAAAGGGAGATGGTCATCGTGGGCGTGCCTTGTATTTCATCACTCACCATATCAAGCTGATCCTATACTCTTTCCATTAATGAACAAACGGTTATTGAACACTTGCTAACTGTCAGTCTCTGTACCAAATGCTGGGGATACAGATGTGGACTTGTAAGACAGAAAATGCCTTGCTTAAAGGAGCTGACCTCCTCAGCTTCCGGGCACGGAGTAGCTTCGGCGGCTGCCACACCTTCCTGACTGCTTTACCTGTGTTGATATGTGCTTCATCTCATTGTGGTACAATAACCCACAGCACCATTGCCAGCACCCCACTGCATATGCGCCTGGCTTGGTACTCCATTACCATGTGCCCTCCTGAGCTGGCCCTAGATCTGGCCCTGTGATCCCACAGTCAGTTTGAGGGAAAAGGAAGTACCCTCAAGACACCTGGTGATTTAATGACTTTTTCTGCTTAATGAACCTGAGGGTGATGTCTTGAGCAAGGTTGTTTCAAAGCAAAAGTTAAATACAGAAGTCCTCCTTATCCAGGGTTTCCCCTTTCTGTGGTTTCAGTTACCCATGGTCAACCACAGTCCAAAAATATTAAGATATTTTGAGGCAGAGAGAGAGAGGGACCACATTCACATAACTCTTTTTAATTTTAAATTTTTGTGGGTATAGTTGGTATATATATTTATGGGTTATGTGAGATATTTTGATACAGGCACGCAGTAATCACATCAAGCTAAATGGGGTGTCCATCACCTTATGCATTTATCCTTGGTGTTACAAACAATTCAATTGTGCTCTTTTAGTTATTTAAAAATATATAATTAAATTATGTTTGACTATAATCATCCTGAATGCTATCAACTACTAGGTCTTATTCATTCTTACTATTTTTTTGTATCCATTAGCCCTTCCCACTCCACACTACCCTTCCCAGCCTCTGGTAACTATCTGCTCTCTATCTCCATGAGTTTAATTGTTTTAATTTTTAGCTCTGATAAAGTAGAACATACGAAGTTTGCCTTTCTGTGCCTGGCTTATTTCACTTAACATAATGATCTCCAGTTTCATTCATGTTGTTGCAAATGACAGGATCTCATTCTCTTTTTATGGCTGACTAGTACTCCATTATATGTAGGTACCCCACACTCCTTCATCCATTTATCTGTTGTTGATTGATACTTAGATTGCTTCCAAATCTTGGCTATTATGAAAGGTGCTGCCCTAAACATGGGAGTGCAGATATCTCTTTATTATACTGATTTCTGTCCTTTCAGGTATATACTTAGGAGTGGAATTACTGGATTGTATAGTAGCTCTATCTTTATTTTTTTGAGGAACCCCCAAACTGTGGTTGTGCTAATTGACATTCCCACCAACAGTTATGAGGGTTTCTTTTTCTCCACATCTTCACCAGCATTTGTTGTTGCCTGTCTTTTGGACAAAAGCCGTTTTAACTGGGTGAGATGATATCACCTTGTAGTTTTAATTTGCATTTCTCTATCAGTGATGTTGGGCACCTTTTCATACACTTATTTGCCATTTATATGTCTTTTTTTGAGAAGAATGAGTTTGAAAGCTCATTCAATCAGATTATTAGATTTTTTTTTTCCTATTGAGTTGTTTGAGCTCCTTATGTATTCTGGTCATTAATCCTTTATCGAATGGGTAGTTTGCAAATATTTTCTCCAGTCTGTGGTTTGTCTCTTCACTTTGTTGATTGTTTCCTTTGCTGTGCAGAAGCTTTTTAACTTGATGTGATCTGATTTGTCCATTTTTGTTTTGGTTGCCTGTGCTTGTGGGGTATTACTCAAGAAATCTTTGCCCACTCCACTGTCCTGGAGAGTTTCCCCTAATGTTTTCTATTAGTAGTTAATAGTTTGTGGGATTTGGCCTGAGATTTAAGTCTTTAATCCATTTTGATTTTATTTTTGTATATGGTGAGAGATAGGGGTTCTTCTGTATATGGATATCCAGTTTTCCCAGCACCATTTATTGAAAAGATTGTTCTTTCCCCAGTGTATGTTCTTGGCACCTTTTTCATAAATAGGTTCATTGTAGATGTATAGATTTATTTTGGGTCTCTGTATTGTGTTTCACTGGCCTACGTGTCTGTTTTTATGCCAGTACCATGCTGTTTTGGTTACTATAGCTCTGTTGTATAATTTGAAGTCAGGTAAAGTGATTCCTCTAGTTTTGTTATTTTTATTTATGGTAGCTTTGGCTATTCTAGGGCTTTTGTGGTTCCATATAAACTTTAGGAATTTTTTTTCTATTTCTGTGAAGATTGCCATTGGTATTTTGATAGGGATTGCATTAAATCTGTAGATTGCTTTGGGTAGTATGGACATTTTAACAGTATTTATTCTTCCAATCCATGAACATGGAATAGCTTTCCATTTTTTGATGTCATCTTCAGTTTTTTTGCATCAGTGTTTTATAGTTTTCATTGTAGAAATCTTTCATTTCTTTGTTTAGTTCGTGACTATTTTAAATGGAATTACTTTCTTAGTTTCTTTTTCAGACTATCCACTGTTGGTATATAGAAATGCTACTGATTTTGTTATGTTGATTTTTGTATCCTGCAACCTTACTGAGTTTATCGGTTCTAATAATTTTTTGGTGGAGTCTTTAGGTTTTTCCAAATATAAGATCATATGATCTGCAAACAAGGACAGATTGACTTCTTCCTTTCCAATTTGGATGCCCTTTATTTCTTTCTCTTTTCTGATTGCTTTAGCCAGGATTCCCAGTACTATATTGAATAATAGTGGTGAAAGTGGGCGTTCTTGTCGTGTTCCTGATTTTAGAGGAAAGATTCAGTTTTTCCCCATTCAGTATGATACTAGGTATGAGTCTGTCATATATGGCTTTCACTGTGTTAAAGCATATTCCTTCTATACCCAGTTTTCTGAGGGTTTTTATCATGAAGGGATGTTGAATTTTATCAAATGCTTTTCCAGTATCAGTTGAAATGGCCACAGGGTTTTTGTACTTCATTCTGTTGATAGGATGTATCACATTGATTGATTTGCATATGTTGAACCATCCTTGCATCCCAGAGATAAATCCCACTTGGTCATGATGAATGATCTTTTTAATGTGTTGTTGAATTCAATTTGCTAGTACTGAGGATTTTTGCACCAATATTCATCAGTGGTATTGGCCTGTAGTTTTCTTTTTTTTGATGTGTCTTTGTCTGGTTTTGGTATCAGAGTAATACTGGCATCATAGAATGAGTTTATAAGTATTCCTTCCTCCTCTATTTTTCAGAAAAGTTTGAGTGGGATTGGTACGTTCTTTAAATGTTTGGTAGAATTTGACAGTGAAGCTCTTGGGTCCCAGGCTTTTCTTTTCTGGGAGACTTTTTATTATAGTTTCAATCTCGTTACTTGTTATTGGTCTGTTCAGGTTTTGGATTTCTTCATGGCTTAGTCTTGGTAGGTTGTATGTGTCTAGGAATTTATCCATTTCTTCTAGATTTCCCAATTTATTGACATATAGTTGCTCATAATAGGGACTAATGATCCTTTGAATTTTTGCAATATCAGTTGCCTCCTTTTTCATCTCTGGTTTTATTTAATTGGGTCTTCTCTCTTTTTTTCTTAGTCTGGCTAAAGGCTTGTCAAATTTGTTTAACTTTTTTAAAAAACAGCTTTTGTTTTTATTGATCTCTTGTATTGTTTTCCTTGTTTCCGTTTTATTTATTTCTGATCTTATCTTTATTATTTCTTTTCTTCCACTAATTTTGTGTTTGGTTTGCTCTTGCTTTTCTAGTTCTTTAAGTTGCATCATTGGGTTGTTTATTTGAAGTTTTTCTTCTTCTTCTTCTCTCTTTTTTTTTTTTTTTTTTTTTTTTTTGAGATGAAGTCTCACTCTGTTGCCCCAGGCTGGAATGCAGTGGTATGATCTCAGTTCACTGCAACCTCTGCCTCCCGAGTTCAAGCCATTCTCCTGCCTCAGCCTCCTGAGTAGCTGGGATTACAGACGCGCACCACCATGTCTGGGTAATTTTTGTATTTTTAGTAGAGACAGGGTTGCACCATGTTGCCCAGGCTGGTCTTGAACTTCTGACCTCAAGTGATCCACCTTCCTTGGCCTCTCAAAGTGCTGGGATTACGGGCA